TATATACAGTATAGGTGAGTGTATATATATATGATATCCTAAAATAAAAAGTCATGCCATAGAGGGTCAACAAAATCTAAACACAAATACAAAATCCAAGCTACCGCCCCACATGTCAGTTGTTTGGGAGTGGCACCTGGGGTGGCCAGCCAGGTGCCAGAGGTGGCACTTGCCACCCTGGCCACCCCTCTGGCTCTGCCCCTGACTGAGGTCCACTTCAGCCATAAATGTACCTTTCTTGTTGAGCATAAGTGAGCATGTCATGAGAGGTCACCCAAAGGTGAAAACAGCACACTTCAAATCTGAGATTGTCCTCAATAAAACCATTAGACGGCTGAGACTGTAGAAACGAAAGAAGGAACCTTTTGGAACATGAGACACGTTCTGACTTTCTGTTCTGTAATTATTAACAGKATGTCTCTTTCAGCAACAGGAACTGAGAGAATAAAAAGCAGGTCAAAAAGGAACAATTCAGGATAAATGCATGAGAGTCTGAGTTTTATACTTGCACCGTCAGGTAAATCTGACCCAATAAACAGGGACAGTGGACGTGATGCTGCCACACTGGACTTTTTAAAAATGGRCCAAGGTTGAATGTTGAGTTCAGACAGGGTGAATCTATCATGAGCAGAGTTTTATATTATCTGATTCAGATGAAACACAATGATTTCACCATGAAGAACTGGTTCTATTAAACTGCTGCATTTCAACTCAAATAGTAGACATCGATCTTTGACATTAGTGTTTCACTTTGATGATGAAGAAAAGATTAACAGTAACAGCTGATGGTCTAGAGCTGGTGACCTGTGTCTCTCACGCTGTGGAGGAACTTTAAAGCTTTCATGGCCGATTCTGACAAACCTCTCAGCTGCTGTCGGCACGGAGCAMGTCTGAAGAAAAACATCAGAGAAGTCTGAACTGTGTGCTGCAAAGTCTTCATTGGATTCATCAGTTTGTTATTCTATAAACTTAATCAAAACTATTATTTTACACCAATTTTCTCACGGTTTCCTTTAGCAACATTCTTTGTGATTTGAAGATGTTTTTAAAAATATAATCAAATAACAGAAACTTTTATTATGGTACAGTCAGTTTTTATGCTTATTTTTTAAATTACTTTGATGAACAAAATTCCTAGTTTCATATCTTCTTTCGTTAATCCTGTATGAACACACATGTTTTATGTTTAATWGGACTGAATTTTAAACACAATCATTTACTCCAAATAGATACATACATTTGAAAAAGTTTAGAGTATTGATATTCATGGCTTTTGGTGTTTGGTTGTGTTTTGTCACCCTGTGGGTTTAGATGCTTTGTTGATGGGTCACAATGACTTTACAGCTCACTTTGATCCATAAAGTTTGATTTTGACATGTTCTGCATTTCATAGCGAAATGACTGGTTTCTGCATGTTCCCTTCTAAAACATAGATAGATAGATAGATAGATAGATAGATAGATAGATAGATAGATAGATAGATAGATAGATAGATAGATAGATAGATAGATAGATAGATAGATAGATAAACCATCTGGATGCTTTTCAGTTTTTGAACAGGCTTAAAATGTGTTTAGAAAGAATTCAAATTGATAATCTACAGAATTATAATCTACAGAATCGTAATCTACAGAAGCAAATATGAAGA